AGAGCCCTACATGTAAAACAGATTATACTGTATATATACTATATGTATTCTTTAATTTTAAAAACACTTAAAAATAAAAATAAGCAAACAATGACTTAATTTTAATTTACCAACAAGACCTGTCCAACCTTCTACCTTTAGCAGAATTATGCTTAAACTACACACACTGACAACTTGCCTATTTAAAGATATTCACAGAGAATATTCTATAAGCCCACATGGTAATGTATAGCTACTCTACAGGAAGGACTTTAAGAACAGGGCAACAAAAATGTGGCTAGGAAACAAGTAAAAGTCACCTGCATCTGAACTCAAAACCAAATCAAAACAAGACAAGCGAACCCCATGATAAAAATAAGCTTATTTTTCAAATCTGTCTCTGAGGTCCAGCAACATGGAAACTTGGGACTAATACTCATAAGGCAAGGGGCCAGGTGCCCAACATAGCCTGATGCATCATATCAACCAATCTGAAGAGGTAAACTATTAAAATGACTCAGGATGATTGTTCTAGATCCACAGTAATCAAGAAGCCAATAGGATTTTCTTAATCCCATATTGCCTTGGGTCCTGACACTAAGGCAGAATTTATCAATATAAAGGGTAAGGCAAAGTCATTTCACAGATGGAACTATAAGAGAAATAAGTAATGAACTTGGAATAAAAGAGAAAGGGTTAAGGAGCACCTAGGTGGCTCAGTCAGTTAAGTGTCTAACTTGGGCTCAGGTCATGATCTCATGCTTCACGAATTCAAGCCCCACGTCAGGCCCTGTGCTGACAACTCAGAGCCTGGAGCCTGCTTCGGATTCTGTGTCTCCCTCTCTCCCTGCCACTCCCCCACCCTCTCATGCTCTCTCTCTCTCTGTCTCTCAAAAAGAAATAAATGTAAAAACAAAACAAAGCAAAGCAAAACCGAGAGAGAGAGAGAGGGTTAAGAATACAAGTTTTAGGGGCACCTACTGGGTCAGTCCATAGAGCACATGACTCTTGATCTTGAAGTCATGGATTCAAGCCCCACATTGGGCACAGAGATTGTTTTATTTACTTTCTGTTTTTTGTTTAAGTTTATTTATTTGAGGGAGAGAAAGAGAGAGAGCATGTGGGGAAGGAGCAGAGAATGAGAGAGAGAATCCCAAGCAGGCAGGTGCTGTCTGTCAGCAAAAAGCCCAACATGTGGCTCAAAAGCACGAACTATAGGATCATGACCTGAGCCGAAATCAAGAGTCGGCCACTTAACTGACTGAGCCACCCAGGTGCCCCTTATTTTTTCTTCAAAGTTTATTTCTTTATTTTGAGAAAGAGAGAGCTTGAGAGAGGGAGGGACAGAGAGAGGGAGAGAGAGACTCCACATAGTCTGTGCAGAGTCCGATGCGGGGCTCGAAGCTATGAACCATGAGATAATGACCTGAGCCGAAGTCGACACTTAACTGACCGAGCCACCCAGGCGCCCCAAGATTATTTTAAAACGTACACACACACACACACACACACAAACACACACACACACACACATTTTATTCCACCATACCTAATGGCACACATACATACTATTTTATACTGAATTGAATTCATTATCATCTTAGTCTTCTGTCTTACCCTGTCTCACTCTGCCTTTCCTCCTTCCCTCCTCATCTGTTTCCATCACCACTTTTCTTCCAGAGAAATAGATAATTTTAATCTCTCTGAAGCTACAGGTCAGATTGAGGCAGCTCTGGAATAACAGAAAATACTAGGAGTTGAATTCCAGTCTGGGGTGTCCCTGAGGGTCCAAATTTGGACTCTGAGACCATTGGAAAACCAACCTGAGTTTCTGAGTCAGTACAGACTAACATTAGTATCCACTACACCCAACACAGATATAAGACCCAATGAAATATATTTTGAAGAAATAAGCAGGCATTCATTCTAAGAAATCCCAGAAAATCTCCTTTCTGAAAGCAAGCAGTTGCCTCTTGTAGCAGCCCAACAATTTGGTAGATACAGTTTTAAGAGCCTATATCTTGACCTAGAGCACCCAAGATCATAATACTAAGGATACCAAGATAGGTGATAATAAGCACCCTTGCGAAATAAATAAATAAAAATAAATTTCAAGAAGTACCACTGCACACAGAATTCTTAACCCAAACTTCATGCCCAGTAGTGTATATAAACAAATGAAATGGTAATTCCTCTGTGAGCAAACAAATGTTTTCATGGACTGTATAATCAGATTAAAGCCTTTTTCATTGATGACCCTGGGATACTAAGGGCATATACAATTTACTCACAAGTTTAGTTAGTCTTAGTCTGTATCAGTCCCCAAGGCTTTCATCAAAGAAGGTTTAACCTTTGAGATATTTCTTACCTCAGTCTATTTCAAGTATTATTAATAGGCCCCCAGGAGCTTATCATTGACTCAAGCACCTCGTGGCCTAAGCAAAGGCTGCCAAGAAAGAAAGGTCTCTAAGTCAAAAGTAGCATCAAGGCACCACAACCTGAAGTGTAAATCACCTACCGTGACCTTGTGGGGGAAGGAGAAAAATGAAGCACCAGTATCATCTGGGGGTTTCTTCCAACATGCCAAGATGGCAATTCACAGTTGGTCAAGAGGCCATGGCCAAACAAGAGGGAGAAAGAAAGCAATTATCCTGATAATTCATATTGTGTATACATAAGAGACGGATAGTTTAACTAAATAATTCAGATAATTGTACCACTCTCCATTTCACAGAAGGACAATCAGTCAGAGTCAGCTGTTCAGCTGCTGGCGGCTCCAGTCTCACATTTGAATGTAACCTTTTATACCTTTAAGAGTTCTTCAGATCATGGAGAAACATACTGTCACTGTACGGAAACGGACTTGTAAAAGAGTTCCTGAGCCAATAAAGGCCCCTTGTCTTAATTCGAACAAAGAGATGGTTTCTCAACAGAAGACTTGTTTGGCCTCAAATCTTTGAGCAGCTTAATCTTTAGCTGAATTTGTCGCATACTGAGTAAACCTATACAATTCAACTCATTGCCAGCCCTATGAACAGAGAGGAATGCCTATATCACATATGCAGGTGTTTAAAAACAAACAAACAAATGCAACTCATAGCTGTCATCTCCGTCCTCTCCTATTTCAAAGGATTACTGAATGTGAAGAGCATATTAAGTGAGAGAAGCTGTACTTCACAATCTGGGAGGGTGGTTAAGATACAAGGAAAGGCACCAAGAAGGTCAGTCTCAGGAGAAGGGAGTAGAAAAGTGGTTACCTTGTATGAGAAGGAGATCTACCAGAGTGACGTCAAAGTAGGTGCTTTTCTCAGGGCATTATTAAAGTGTTTATGGTAAGGACCAGGTTCGGATTAGTAGAGTCATCTTAGAAGAAACAGGGCTACTGAGTTACACTAAGAAAACTGCTTTGATAGAATCGTGATTCAATAAAGGAACACAGGGACCAGAAAACTGGATTCTATTTCTCTATCATCTATAAACCCATGAAATGGTTCCTTCCAGAATCTAGATCTCAATCTCCTAAATAAAATTCACCCTCTCAAAGAGTTCAGAAACTTAAAATAATGAATATGGTTCTCTTAGCACCTATCTATTTACAAACTCACCTCCTTATTAGGTGAGATATAAAGCTCTGGAATTTAAGTCTGAAAAATCCGTGCCTAAGAGCACCTTCTCTCTCTCCTAATCTTGTACAAGTAACAATTTTCTGAGCTTCAGTTTCCTCATCTGTAAAATGGGAATTATAGCACTACTTGCCACACCTACTTCAAGAATCACTGCTGAGATTCATGTAGGGGAAAGACACACAAAAGAATTTTTAAACAGCAAAGGACCATACATATGTTGGTGCTACCCTAGGTGGGGCACTGTTACAGCAGGCAAATCAAACATACAGACAGGATGAAAAGAAGCGATGGTTCGTCCATCTGAGAGAGAAGGGCTGCAAGCACGGTGAAAAATAATTTTAAGCTACTGGCTGATATATTCAGTGAAGTGGTATGACACAAAAGTAAATTATTATTTAGAAGTGGATTCTCACGCCCACACTTTCACTTTGCACACATAGCAGAAAAAGAAAAATAAGAAAGATTAAGAGTGGGTGTCCAGCTCTCAGCTCACCAAAATAACTGGTGAAGTTCCATTTGGGGAGGGAGAGTGGAGTTAGTTATGACAGTCGGTATATACTGAACATTACTGCAGAAGTAAGAATATTGTTGCATAAGATAAGAGAAGTAAAAGTGTCATAACTAAGCAGAGCATTGTTGAGTTATCCACAATCCATATACTATAGCTATAGATAGGGCAAATGTCTATAGAAAGCTTTAAGAAAAAAGAAAAGAAAAAGGCTATTCCACAAGTATCAAACAAACATAAGTAATTCAGCAGGTTGGTTCTCCATAGCAAGCTCTTAGGGAGGTAATGATCCTAAGACACCTCTAACAATGAGGTCAGGCGCTCTAAGCGCCTGCAGGAGACACAAACTGTTTCTGAATCATTACAAACCAGCAAAACAAAAGGTGTGGTTTCAGAAGCTCTGCTGGCCTTAACCCAACAGAGGGGTTTACTCTCTGAGTGATCTAAGATATTCTATAACAGGGTCACACAAACAGGAAACCGAATTTTCTGAGAAGGCATCGGACAAATGACATTGACTATGCTGATCTGAGTGCCATGGTGTACAGGCACACCGACCGGACAGCGAGAAGATGACTAATCTATAGGGATAACACCAGAGACCAAATCATCAGTAACCATGACAACTCAAGTAGGTGGAGGGAAATACAAACACTGACCAGGCAGCCCGGTGACACTATTCCTTCAAGGTAGAGACCCTGGGGTCTGAAAAAGACTTGATTCGTGGAGGAAGCTGGCCAAGAATGAAACCGACTAGCCCCAAAGGGCCAGTTATCCGTGCAGGAGGGCTCGGCGGTGACACGAACACTCTCCATGGGCAGCCCAAGTAGGGGTCACAAGTTCATGTGTAGGGGAGTGGACGCCTATAAAATCGAAAAAGGAGTTACCTGGTGCAGGGCTGTCAAACCGTCCACGTTGACCGTGTTAATGTCTGCACCTCTCGCCAGAAGCTTTTTCACCTCGTCGGTGTCCCCGCTAGAGCAAGCGGCCAGGAAGACAGCACCGTCCTCGAAGCGGACTCTTGGGCTCCCGCGACGAGTCTGCGGCTGCCGACCGGTGCCTCGTCGCTCCGCGGGTTCCTGCTCTGTCAGCGAGCCCCGCCAGCGCCGAAGCTGCTCAGCCCGCCGCATTCGCGCCGACTCCGCCCGCTTCCCGCCCAGGTGCTCCAACTCCGCCATTGCTCTGTCCTCAGCAGCCGCTGCTGTAACTACCACCACTGGATTGCTATTGCTGCCCCAGTTGCCGCTGCCGCTTCCTTCAGAGCGCTTCAGCCGGGAGCAGAAGGCGGAGACCCCCGCACCGCCATCTTTACTCCTCCCGCCACTAGCACCGCCCGCACGCTCCCTCGGCTTCAACACGCAGGCGCTGCCCGCGCCTCGGGTCATCACGGGACTTGTAGTAAAAGACGGGCCCTAAGGGCAGGCCATGGCCTTGAGGGAACTACAAATCCCTGGATGCATCATTGAAGAGGCGAGGACCGGCTCTCACTACTTAGCCGGGGGGCCCAGAAGGGTCACCTTTGCCCTAAAGCTGGAATTGTTTCCCGGACTGGCGTCAGCCTCTTTGGGCATTTTGGGAATTGTAGTTTATTCTTGTTGTGACTGCTGCCTAGTCTTGGCTCCCTTAATTATCACATCAGTCCTTCGAAGCGCAAAAGGGGCAGTAATTATTTCTGTTTTCTATTAGGGAAAACTAGACGTAAAGTACCCGAAAGACTCAAACCTATGCCGTGGTTCTAAGTTTAGAGTTTTATTTACGTTATAACGTGTAATACATTAACATGTATTAATCGCAGTAAGACTAAATGTGCATGGGGAGGAGGAGCATGGATACGTGCACAGTGGTACATATTATACACCAATTCTTTGAACGAGACACTTAGATTTTAGGCACTAAAATTAAGATCCAGGAAAGGATACATCCCATGATAGTGGAAAAAATGTAAATTTTCAATTCAAATTGAATTCACATCCCTAAACAAGTTACTTGATTTCTCTGAGTCGGCTTCCTTATTTTAAAGTGGGAATAGTAACATCTCACAGAATAGTTCCGTGGATGAAGTAATACATGCAAAGATACCTAGTACTATACTTGGCACATATCTGCTCACAAATATTAATTTCCCTTTCCCCCTCCTCCTCCTCTACTCTTATCATGGGTCTTAAATTATTAAGAGACAGAGTGGATGCTTGGTCTTTCATGATTCCCCCACACACACACACACACAAAGTTACAGAAAGACAACTATGGGGCATACTAAACTCCTAAGGCCGCAAACAGGACATTTTCATATTCACAGTGAACTTGGCTATAAAACCTGTAAGCCTGATTTAATACCTATACCCCCTAGGGCCTTAGCCCTGGACAAAATATAATTAAATGTGATGTCCATAATGAAAGAAAAAATATACAATTATTAGGTTCTGTATGTTTTCAGTCTTCTGTATGTTTAAATTTTTTCATTAAAAATTATTACAAAACTAATTAGGTCATTATAAAGGGAAACTTTATTATATTCCATTGTGAACATTTGTGGTTGTTCAACTTCCCCTGAGATGAACTGAGAATTAAATGAAAAGTGACATGCAAACGCAAAATATTATGTTTAAGAATAACATGTTTATCCACAATATGCTTTAATTAGATAGTCTTGAATATCTTATAAATATTAATTATCCTACTATGGCATCTTTGTTAACAGTGAATAACAGTGTGCATTAAATAATCAAGGGGTACCTTGGTGGCTCAGTCAGTTAAGTGCCCGACTCTTGATTTCGGCTCAGGTCATGATATCACAATTTGTAAGATCAACCCCTGAGATGGGCTCTGTGCTGATCATGGAGCCTGCCTGGGGTTCTCTCACCCCCTCTCTCTCTGCTCATCCCTTGCTCGCTTTCGTGTGCATGCACTCTCTCTGTCTCTCTCTCTCAAAATAAACTTAAAAAAATAAATAAAGGGGCACCTGGCTGGCTCAGTCGGTTAAGCATCTGACTTCCACTCAGGTCATGACCTCACAGTTGGTGAGTTCAAGCCCCCATCGCGTTCTGCGCTGACAGCTCAGAGCCTGGAACCTGCTTGGGATTCTGTGTCTCCTTCTTTCTCTCTGCCTCTCCTCCAATTGCACTCTGTCTCTCTGTCTCTCTCTCTCAAAAATAAATAAACATTAAAAAAATTTTTAAACAAAATAATAATAGTCAAGATACAATAAAATATACTTTATATAGCCTTGTTTTCCTTACTATTGTGCAATGATTTACAGTCACTGTAGAACTTGTCACCTCTCATCATCCACTGCAATTAAAAATTCTGTATGAGATTTTGAAACTTGTCAACATGGAACCTCTTCTTATTACAACTCAGCCTCTTGCTGATAATTTAAATTTCCCACAAGCTCTCAAACAGAATTCTCCCTATAAGATAAAAGAAACACTGATGTCATAACAGACAGGAAAGAGTACCCAGCTAGATGCTTAACCCTCTTCATGAAACCATCATTAGCTAAACTCTGCCCATCTAGATGGAAGCCAAAAAGTAAAGAGGGGCAATGTTTTGGCATAACACAAATTGCTGAAATCTCAGGAAGCACATCTCTGAGCAGCAATCCATGCTATCTTAATATTTATATTTAATTAATGATCTTAATATGTTCTTGATACACAATAGCACCTCAAAAAAAGCATGCATTATTGAACTGTATATTTTACTGACCTAATGGTTTTCTATTAAGAATTTTTTAACTGGGATAAAATTTTCAGAGATCAATAATGTTACATGTATTTTGGCTGTGTTATTTTCACATTCGGAATCAGGGAAGAAGAAATACCTGGTGCCAATTGTATAAATAAGCTAAAATTGAGCAAGTCCAAGTTAAATCCTTTCATTACTAAGAGGTAAACTTAAATTTCAACAGAAAAAAATCAGTCTCGATACTGGGAAGTTCCAGGAAATACTTCCTTACTATTTTATTTGGTTTTCTTTTTCTGAAGCCATTAGAGTGTAATACAGTCTTTGGAGATTGTAAACAAAAATATAAGTAGCTAAGTTCCTTGGATAATTTAAGTGCATACCTATCTGGAAGGAGAAGAATGTATCTTCAGCTATGTGATTACAAAAAGCAGTAATAATTATTACAATCCAATTAATTTAACTGGCTCAGGCAAAGAAAAAAGTTATGTCACAAAAAATAAAACAAAATTAGTCTGCGTACACTGCTTTAAAAAGTTTTTTCAAAATTAAGATCATGGAAGTTTTTCTGAAACATCTTCCCCCAACCAATTATATAAGTTTATATATAAGTAAACTTACATAATCAGCCCATTAAACAAATACGATAGTTTAGATTTACTAAAAAAAAAAAAATACTCTAGGGGTGCCTGGGTGGCTCAGTCAGTTAAGTGTCCAACTTCGGCTCACGTCATGATCTCACAGTTTGTGGGTTCGAGACCCACGTCGGGCTCTGTGTTGACAGCTAGCTCAGAGCCTGGAGCCTATTTCAGATTTTGTATCTCCCCCTCTCTCTCTGACCCTCCCCTGCTCACACTGTCTCTCTCTGTCTCAGAAATAACATTTAAAACAAATTTTTAATAATACTCTATATTAAAGAAAATATGTTTTATATTCAAATGAGTAAATACTGACAAATAATCCTGTGTATAAATATGTTTTTGCTTTTAAATGCATTAAAGTGAGCCAGCTATGATGCATAGATATTCTTGTGTGAAGAAATTTTAAGTAATTTCCCACAATACACTTAAAAAATAAATCAGAATATTAGAATACTTCCTTTTTTGAAAGCAGTAACACCTGTACATGGTTAACAAAAATTTTTCAGCCTGGCCACTATTCTCACCAGTTAACATACCCCCCTCTGGTGGACAAATGGAAACTGTACATTTAGCCCCTGGAGTTCTTTTTATCTTTTTTCTTTTATTCAGTTCTTTCAATTTTGTTGCCAAAATTATTGGCATATGCTTGTCTTATGATACCATCTCTCCTTTCCACCAGACTCAGCTCAGATCCTGCTTTTTATAAGAAACGCCTTTAATATTGTTTTATTTTTAATTTTAGGGAGAGAGAGCATGCCAGTGCACCAGAGGGGAAGAGGGGCAGAGGGGAAGAGGGGCAGAGGGAGGGAGGGAGAGAATCCCAAGTAGGCTCCACATGACTCTGGGATCAAAACCCGAGCAGAAATCAGGAATCGATTGCTCAGCTGCCTGAGCCACCCAGATGCCCCTTTAAGAGATGCTTTTAAGACTCATTTCTCAGCTGGGGCCTGCTCGGGATTCTCTGTTTCTCTCAAAATAAATAAATAAACTTTAAAAACAAAAAAAAAAAGATATTTAATACTTGTTTCTCAGAAAAGCACCCAAGGAGGCAACCATTTCAGTTCTGAAGACATAACTGTAACTGAGATACAATTACAGTTGGGATAGGAAGAAAATAAAGACACTGAAGGGATTAAAACAAAATATCAGTAGTAGCATAAGCAGCCAACTCCAGAAAACACTCCGTTACAATGAGTAAATACTAGCAATAAACACAAAACACCAACAGTGAACTGGAACTTAGGTTCAACAGTCCTAAGACTCTTTATGTTCGTAATTCATAAGCTACTTTAGTTGATTCATTCTTACAACCAGTGTGAGGATCCCCAGGGTAGAACCATGGACAGAGTGCTAGTGAATGTGTGGGTCACCAGGGGAGAGGTAATATACCAGGCAGTGGGCTCCAGGTAACCGGGCGCTACTTAACACCAATCTGGACTAAATGCAGAAATCATTGCAGTGGCCAGAATTATATTGGTTTGCAAGTTTAGAAAGACTGGCCATTACTCCTATGCTACCACGATTTCAAAGCCACACAATGAGCTGAAAGCAGTGAAATAAGGGGTGTGTGTGTGTGTGTGTGTGTGTGTGTGTGTGTGTTATCCTTGTTTTCCTACCCACAGTATTCCCAAAGGCTAGTCAAGTTCCAGCTGTGCTGTTTCCAAGCCATCCATGTACACTCACGGAGACAAGGAAGGAACCATTGAGAAGTCAAGACCAGCTTAGCCATAAACAGGTACCTCCTTGGTCAGGTAGTACCACACTTTCAGAGCTGGAAGGAAGCCTCCAAGTCATCTATTGTAAACTTCCACCCAGTGCAAGGATCCCTTTTGCACTATCCCTAATTAACTTCCACTTGAACACTTCCAGTGATGAAGGAATTCGCTACCTCCCAAGTTTACCTGTTCTGTTTTTCAGGGTTCTAACTGCTACTGTGCTTTATTGAGCTAAATTCTGCATCGCTTTAACTTTCATCCTTTGATCTTTGATGTGTCCTCTGAAGTAGTAAAATTTTCCACGCGAAAAAAATACTTCAATGAAGAGACTTATCACGCATTCCCTTCTCCAGTTCAAATATTTCCGATTCCCTTCATTGTTCCTTCTCTGAGGCGATTTCCGACTTCTTGCCTGCTTTGACAAAGAGAGCTGACTTCGTAACCAAACTTGTCACCGCACGGGCAACACCAGGTGGTGTAGCCGGGCAGAAACGAGGAGCGTCTCAGCCCTGAACGACAACTCCACCAACGAGATGGAGGGATAGCTCCCGAAGCGCGTTCCGATTTGAAAGCCGCGCGAGCGGAAGCCGGGCTCAGAGCGCTAGCCAATAGGGAGCTGCGCTCCTCCTCCGGGCATTGCTGCGGGCCAATCGCAAGCCCTCAGGGGCGAGAGGCGGAGCCGCACCAACCGTCTGAACTTGCGCAGGCGCGGGTAGCAGCTGGTCCGCGCGCTGCGGTCTAGTGAGGCGAATTTGCCCAGGTAAGTGGGGAGTTTTCTGGTTGCCTAGTGGAGAAAACGCAACCCGGCGTTGGTCCCTACGCAGCTTGGTGAAAAGGAGTCCTGTTTCTGCCTAATGTGGGAGTTTCCTGTCTTCGGAAGGGAGAAGCTGGGAAAAGCGGAGGCTGTGTAGAATCTCCGCAGCCCTTTGATGGCCCTAGCTCCCCAAGCCAGTCCCCTGCGCAGCAGGGAGAAGAGTGCCCTTGGGAGAGTGTGCCCCGGGGCCTCGCACAGGCGGTTTCGCCTTCTTCACCATGTGGTCCAAAACTCACGTTTCCTTCATTAGCTGTTCAAACTTAGGACAGGGCTGCATACTGGTAGGCGTTGCTGATTCAAAAAAATTTTTAAAAGAAAGGAAGAAAACCTACGTAGACTAGACCTGCCCTCAAGGCATTTTGCCCCGAGGAGGAGAGGCTGCCTGAGCTGAATTACCACTCACGGTGCAAGTTGGTGTGGAAGCAGACAGGGTGACCTTTGAAAGGAGTTGGGAATTGGGATGCATTACTAGAGAAGGGCAAGAAGTGATCATTTAATGTGGACGTGTCTGTAGGTATGGAAGAATGAGACTCGTGAGCAGCAAGAAGTCGGTGTGGCTGAAGCATAACTCTGTGGGGAGTAGTTCCTGGGAATGAAGTTGGAAATAGGCGTTGGGGTTTGATTGTAAAGAATCTTTGTGCCCAGAAAATACGCAGTAATTGATGGCCTTTGAGCCAAGGAGTGCCATACACCAATTTGTGTTAATATCGTGAGGCTGGGGTCTGGTTGAAGCAACCAGAGAAATTTCTTTAGAGAAGTTGTCTGGCTTGTTCTCACCCTATTCTAATCCCTTTACTGTGCGTTTCCCCTGGGTTCTCATTTTATATAAAACTATACTCTGTTACTTGTGGATTCTTATTGTCCTTGCGTTCTCAGTATCTGTTTACTGAGGAAAGTAATAAGGATCTGTATATAAAAGGTGTGGTTAATTATCTAGTGAAATAACTGCTTCCAAAAAATGAAAGTCTTAATGGGTGCAGCTATGGACATTTGGAAGTACTTTAAAAAATAATTTAGAGGCACCTGGGTGGCTCAGTGGGTTAAGCACCTGCTTTGGATTCTCTCTCTCTCTTTCTCCCCACCCCCCACTTCCCCCGCTTAACCTCTGTCTCTCTCAAAAATAAAAACAAAAATTTTTAAAGAATAATTTATATGAAAGATTGTTGTAGTGTAATTCTATTTAACAACTTAATTCACTTGTAATATTATTAATCTTATTTAAGTATTTCTGGAAGAGTTTGTTAATTGTGGAGGAGCAGCAAGCCTGGAGATTAGAAAAGAAAGATCCAAAGAACAAATGTGTCTGCAACAGTGCAGGAGAATGTCTTTACCTGACTAATACACAAATTTAGTCTCCTTTAAACATCCCTGTGATTGAGGTAGATGCCTCAATCTAAAGTTATGATTATCATAAATAACAACCATTCAGTAATTACAGTCTGTGCCCACCAGGGAATCTTCTGATTATAATTAGTTTTCCAAGTAGAAATAACTTGACAGAATGTGTGGGATTAAAATTTAAAAGTTTACTGTAGTTGTACAAATTAATAAATTGACCTTTTCATGTTTAAGCCTTTGTGAGTGAGCCTGGAATAAATTAGTACACCTAAGCCCTACTAAATCTAGGTTTACTGCCAAGTTGAGTTTTTAGTTTACAAAACTGAGAACCAGATCCTGAGATGTATATACTTGGGGACTTTTATTAGTTGATTCTAAAATCCCTACAGAAGATCAGAGGATCAAAAGTAATCAAGACATTCCTGAAGGAAAAGAACAAGGTGGAGGAACTTAACTACCAAATATAGCAAGTCTTATTAATAAGTTATAGTAATTAAAATAGTGAGGTATTGACTCAAGGATAATCCAACTGACCAGTGGAACAAATTGAAAAATCCCAAAACAGATCCATCCATATATGGAAATTTATGACCATATCAGCAGGAAAGAATGGACTTTCCAATAAAAGAGACTAAGACAATTGGTTATTCATGTGGAGGAAAAAAATCCAAAATTGGACCTCTACCTCACAGTATACACAAAAATCAATTCCTACTGGATTAAAGACGTAAATTGTAACATTTACATTTAGAAGAATATGTAGACAAATAGCTAAGTTTGGGAGTAGGGAAAAATCTAATACGCAGAGGTTTCCGTGTAAAGGAAAAGTTTTAAAATTGATTATGTTAAAGTTAATACTTGTATGTCGTTTAAGAGACATCAAAAGTTTGTCAAAAGACAAACAGAGATGGTATATGTAACTCCTCTATCAAAAGATCGGTGTCCTTTGAATAGTAGCCAGAGGGAGAGCTAGAGTTAGGAAGGGTGTTGAGCAGGTGTGGATGTGGGTGTTTGTTTTAGATGAGAGGGATTTTGAGCATATTTGAATGTTGATAGGAAGGAGATTGGAAATACTGAAGAACTGGGAGGAAGTGGAATCCAAGGTATATGGAGAAAACAGACATTTAAGCATTTGCTTATAAGTATCTCAGAGTGAGACTACCTCCCTATCATTCATTCCTGGCTTTCTCCACAAAGCATATATGGACTTCCTCCCACAGCTAATATTTGTCAATCCTTTTTTATGCCAGGCATGCTAAGGATGCAGTGGGGAGTAAAATTAGACACCAGGCTCTACCTCATGAGTTTATAATTTATCATTGGAAACAGACATTAATTGAAAACTTGTTGTTTGTAGAACTTTTTTCATTATTTACATTTCATTTTTAACATTTGCTTGCTTGAATAGATAACAAGAAGGAAGTAGAAAAAACGCAGATTCCCTTCTCAGAATGGGAATTAATATGAAGAATTTGTTTTTTACTAAATTGAAGCCATGAGCTAAAAACTCCAGTCACCATTGCTGACTATTTCATGGTTGTCCCTTTTCTCCCTAGCGATTCCCAGCCAGCGCCTAGTGTGGTGCAGTGGACTGTGTGGTTCCTTCTACCTGGGGACCATGCAGAGAGCTTCACGTCTGAAGAGGGAGCTGCAGTTGTTAGCCACAGAGCCACCCCCAGGCATCACCTGCTGGCAAGATAAGGACCAAATGGATGATCTGCGAGCTCGTAGGTATCATGTCTTACCTATCAGGACCCTATAGAAGATTGTGCTGAAATTTGAACATTTGCATATTCTAAAGTCGAGAACAATGGCAAGATTGAAGTGCCCTACCATCTTTCTAACCCTAATTTGTTTACATGTATAAAAGGTTTGCTTGACAAAATGCTTCTTTGGTCTTTTATTACACCTTTTGCTGACTTGTAGCCAGGATTTGGGCATCAGCTCTGAAGCAGTGTTTAGACCAAAGATACCATCTCAAATATCTGTGAGGCCAGACAGGAAACATAAATGATTAGAATACTGCAGTCCAGGCAAAACAAATCTGCAGCTTGTATTTGACTTGTGGTCAGCATTGTCCAACTTCTGTTTTGATTTTATATCTCTCCTTTGTTTGACACCGTGAAACAAAGTAAATGGGTAAATAGGTATATTGCATGAGAGCTTATTAAAGCCCTGAAAGAGAATTATTGTCCTAGACCTGGCTTTTCTTTAGGATCATAGAGTTTATTAGGTTTGTATGGTGTGGTCATTTAAACCATCCAATTACTTTTTAACTTTTATTTATTTTTTTCAAAGAAATATTAGGTGCGGCTGACACACCTTATGAAAAAGGTGTTTTCAAGCTGGAAGTTATCATTCCTGAGAGGTTAGTATGGATTAGATTCTAAACTTACTAAAAGAAGCACAGTTATTAGAAGATAGAGTAATGTAGTAGAGTGTTAAATGTAGGAGTTAAAGGTCCTAGGTTTTAATCCTAGTCTTATGATTTAATACCACCTTGGGCAAGTTATCTCTCTGGAGTCCAAATTGCTTCTGTAAAGATGGTCTACATCAAAGGCTTCTCTCTCTCTTTTTTTTTCATTGTGCTAAAATGTACATAACATAAAATTGATCATTTAAACCACTTTTAAGTGTTTGGTACGGTGGCATTAAATACATTCACATTGTTCTGCATCTATCACCATCCTCCATCTCCAGAACTTTATCATTCTCCCAAACTGAAACCCCATACCCATTCAACAGGAAGTTGCCAGTCCCCTCTTCTCCCAGCACCTGGCAACCACCATTCTACTTTCTTTTTCTGTGTTAAGGCACCATTTAATTCAGATCTCCTTTAAGGTTCTCTCAGGTGAGTTGTAGTTGTAGATTCATACAGAGTGAGGAAGGGAAGAAATGAATGTCTGTTATATAGATGTCTATTCACTAGGTCAGATCCTGGCCAAACTTGTTAAAGTCCTGAGAGAAGTAGCTTAATAATCATGTGATAACATCAGTTTTGAAAATAGACTGGGAGTTTTCCAAGGTTTGTGTTTCACTAAAAAGGCATAGTAACTAAATGGCAATGTATAAATCTTAATTACATCCTGTTTTTCAAAAACTATATGTAAAAAAGAAAACTGGGTGGGGAGCAGTTGAGGATATCTGAATAGTAGATGATATTGGAGAATAAATTTTTAAGTTTTTCATAGGTATGCTAATAGTATTGCAGCTATATAGGAGAATGACCTTTTTTCTTGGGAGATCATGATCAAGTATTTAGAGGGTGAAGTGGCTTGATCTAGGTAGTGGGTTTATGAGTGTTTTTTTAATGCTATTATTTCAGCTTTTGTAAGTTTTCATAATAAAAATTTGAGGAGAGAAAAGGTTTGCCTCTCAAAGGCTGTCTTCCTGATTAGTCACCAGGAAGCTGTTTATAATGTATTAAGAAGCAATATTTTAATAAAAATTCTCTGTTGTCCTGTGCTTTCAAAGGTATCCATTTGAACCCCCTCAGATCCGATTTCTTACTCCAATCTATCATCCAAACATTGATTCTGCCGGAAGGATTTGTCTAGATGTTCTCAAATTGCCACCAAAAGTGAGTGGTGGGTAAAGGGTAGACTGTAAAAGCAGTCTGTGGTTCTCATCTATATAACTTGAATTAGAGTATAACATTCTTAGTAATACAAAAACATCTGCCTATTTGTCTATATATAGGGGGCCTGGAGGCCATCTCTCAACCTCGCAACGGTGCTGACTTCTATTCAGTTGCTCATGTCCGAACCCAACCCTGATGACCCACTCATGGCAGACATAGTAAGTATCCTCTTTTCTTCCGCGGCCCATATCCTGACTTTTTGTTGTGAGGATAGCTGTGGCAGCTGCAGCTGAATCACTACAAATCATTTTTCTCTCCATTAACTTCTTTGATTTTTGTCTCAGTCCTCCGAATTTAAATACAATAAGCCAGTCTTCCTCAAGAATGCCAGGCAGTGGACAGAGAAGCATGCAAGACAGAAACAGAAGGTATGAAGATTGTACAGATCTCATTTTGCTACTGTTGTTAGCCCATGGGAAGTGTACTTGTCTGTAAATACATGCATGTTTATGAACTTTGCTAAATTTATACTGTACTCTTGAGTAGCTAATTGATCTTTTTCTCCTATTGCAACTTTCTAAATACTTATTCAGCATAACAACCTCGTAGTTCAAACAAGAGTACATTTTTCCTCAATGGTTTTCATCTGTTGACAACACTAGAGGGCAGGCAGCATTTGGTTAATTTTTTTTATATTCTTGGGGGGTAGCACGGATAAATGTGAGGTGATTTAGATTCCTTTTTCAAAGTTTTCTTTTTTAACACTGAGAAGGGACTACTGCAGGAATCAGGAAGGAGTGGGAGGTAGAGGAGGGAGGGGAAAATTAACATGTATTACGGGACCATTCATGGAAGAAGGAAGATTTCCCTCATTTAAGCTGATAGAGCTACCTCCTTTAACAATACAAATTGCAGGAAAACAAAGATTTGCACATTCTGGTTCTTTCTGAGTTATGACATCCTTCAAATTGTGTTAAGTAGCAGTTACTTATGAAAAGACATAAAAATTTTAAATATACAAAAGATTGAGGAAGATGCTTTTGGAGGGAATATTATATACAAAGAAAGTAATTCTTTGCGGCAGCAAAGAAGTACTTAGAAATAATATTACAGCGCTTCATTGTTCTCCATCCTGGGGTTAGTATGAACCTTCTATTTTACCGTATCTGCTCCTTTTTAGGCTGATAAGGAGGAGGTGCCTGATGATCTGCCAGAGGCTGGTGCCTCAGAAGTGTGCAACACAGTGCAGAAAAGGAAAGCCAGGCCACTGGGAGGCACAGGAAAGAAATTCTGCCCTGATGCTTAGGGGTTTGTCCTGGTCTATCTTAGTTAATATATTCTTTGCTAAGATGGTCTAATTGCTTACCTTCCTTGACTGTTTTTCTTTGTATTTGTTGACGTTATCATTTTTTGTATCGTATAAAACAGACTTTGTGTATTTATATATTCTGCTCTACATTGATTCTCTGAGGGTAGTTTGTTTTATTTAGCTTGTACATACGTATTTTGAAACTTTTAAACCTGAAAAATAAATAATCATTTAATGTTGAATGTGTGTTTATCCTGAGTGTGTGTCTGGGAGCAAAATGTCTAGAAAGCTATATAATAAGAATGTTAAAATATTTGGAATTTTGTCTTTTAGTTTGCCAACTTTCCAACATCACTAGGGATACTGAGTGTTTGACGTAGATATAAAATAACTATTGGAAACAGTTCAGTTACCACTAGGCTTTTAGGGATTCTGGGTTTACAGATTTATTTTATTTTATTTTATTTTATTTTATTTTATTTTATTTTATAAGTTTTAATACAATGTGGGAATAAGGTAATATGCCTTTTTGTTAATTTTTTTGCAGCTTTAACTTTTTGTGATTTATATAGCTGGTCAGAATTACTATGGTATAACTTTTATTTGTTCAATAAATTATTGAACATCTGCTATGTACCAAGTATTTTACAATATAAGAGTGAAAAATTCAGACATGAGATTAACCAAGTAATCATACAAATTTAAACAATGATTTTTATAATCACTTTCTATCCCTAGCTTCATTTCATGGCAAGTACTACTAAGAACAAATAGACGCCAAGCTTGAATCTCCTACTCACAATTTTATAATATACTTGGACTTTGATATTCTATTTAGATGAGAGAGAAAACAGATTTGAGCAGATATCAGTTGAAGTGGAAAGAGGCTGCCCGTGCTGAGTGAAAGACTTTCTGAGGAATAGAGATATTAGGAGTCCGAGCTAGAAAAATAAAGACTGTAATGTCCCTGTCCATATACTAGTGTAGCAGTTTTATCTCAGTGCAGTGATTTTATACCTAGGCTAGGCACCACACACATACAATAGTGCATCTCTGGGGGCTGCTGTTTGGCTGTTGGTTGAGCGTCTGACTCTTGATTTCACCTCAGGTCATGATCTCAGGTTCGAGAGTTCAAGCCCTGCATTGGGTTCCATGCTCACAGTGAGAAGACTGCTTGGGATTCTCTCTCTTCCTCTCCTCTGCCCCTTCCCCCACTCATGCTCCTTCTCTCAAAATAAATATGAATTTTAAAACCCTACCTTTCTGTTGGGATAGAAGGAACTTACTTAAACCTCATAAAAGCCATCTATGAAAAGCCCTCAGCTAACATCATCCTCAATGGGGAAAAACAGAGCTTTCCCCCTGAAATCAGGAACACGACAAGGATGTCCATTCTCACCACTGTTGTTTAACATAGTGCTGGAAGTCCTAGCATCAGCAATCAGACAACAAAAGGAAATAAGAGGCATCAGAATTGGCAAAGAAGAAGTCAAACTTTCACTTTTCACAGACGACGTGATACTCTACATAGAAAACCCAACAGACTCCACCAGAAGCCTACTAGAACTGATCCAAGAATTCAGCAAAGTTGCAGGGTACAAAATCAATGTAAAGAAATAGGTTGCATTTTTATACACCAACAATGAAGCAACAGAAAGAGAAATCAAGAAACTGATCCCATTCACAATTGTGCAAAAAATCATAAAATACCTAGGTATAAACCTAACCAAAGATATAAGAGATCTGTATGATGAAAACTATAGAAAACTTATGAAGGAAATTGAAGAAGACACAAAGAAATGGAAAAACATTCCATGCTCATGGATCAGAAGAATATAGTCAAAATGTCATTACTACCCAAAACAATCTACACATTCAATGCAATCCCAATCAAAATTGCACCAGCATTCTTCTCAAAGCTAGAACAAACTATCCTAAAATTTGTATGGAACCACAAAAGACCCTGAATAGCCAAAGTAATATTGAAGAAGAAAACCAAAAAGGGAGGCATCACCATCCCAGACTGTAATCTCTACTACAAAGCTGCCATCATCAAGACAGTATGGAATTGGCACAAAAACAGACACACAGACCAATGGAATAGAATAGAGAACTCAGAATTGGACCCAAAATGTATGGCCAACTAATCTTTGACAAAGCAGGAAAGAGTATGCAATGGAAAAAAGACAGCCTCTCTAACAGTTGGTGCTGGGAGAACTGGACAGCAACATGCAGAAGAATGAAACTAGATCATTTTCTCACACCATACACAAAAATAAACTCAAAATGGATAAAGGACCTGAATGTGAGACAAGAAACCATCAAAACCCTAGAGGGGAAAGCAGGAAACAACCTCTTTGACCTCAACTACAGCAATTTCTTACTTGACACATCCCCAAAGGCAAGGGAATCAAGAACAAAAATGAACTTTTGGGACGTCATCAAGATAAAAGGCTTTTGCACAGCACAGGAAACAATCAATAAAACTAATAGGCAACTGATGGAATGGGAAAAGATAGTTGAAAATGACATATCAGATAAAGGGCTAGTATCTAAAATCTATAAGGAACTCACCAAACTCCACACCCAAAAAACAAATAATCCAGTGAAGAAATGGGCAGAAGATATGAACAGACACTTCTCCAAAAAGGACATCCAGATGGCCAACAGACACATGAAATGATGCTCAGTGTTCCTCATCATCAGGGAAATACAGATCAAACCCACACTGAGATACCACCTCATGCCGGTCAGAGTGGCTAAAATGAACACATCAGGAGACTCAAGATGCTGGTGAGGATGTGGAGAAATGGACACCCATCTACACTGTTGGTGGGAATGTAAACTGGTGCAGCCCCTCTGGAAAACAGTGTGGAGATTCCTCAAAAAATTAACAATAGAACTCCCCTATGACCCAGCAATAGCACTGCTAGGAATTTACCCAAGGGATACAGGAGTGCTGATGCATAGGGGCACATAAACCCCAATATTCATAGCAGCACTCTCAACAATAGCCAAAACATGGAAAGAACCTAAGTGTCCATCAACTGATGAGTGGATCAAGAAGATGTGTTTCATCTATACAATTACTACATGGCAGTGAGAAAGAATGAAATCTGGCCATTTGTAGCAACATGGATGGAACTTGAGGGTGTTATGCTGAGCAAAATAAGTCAGGCAGAGAAGGACAGATACCATATCTTTGTACATATAGGTGGATTAGGAGGAACTTAAATGGAGGACCATGGGGGAGAAAAAGGGGAAAAATAGTTGGGGAGAGGGAGGGAGACAAACCATGAGAGACTCTGGAATGCTGAGAACAAACTGAGGGCTGATGGGGTGGGGTGAGGGGAAGGGGGGTGATAGGCATGGAGGAGAGCACTTGTTGGGATGAACAACGGGTATTATATGGAAACCAACTTGACAATAAACTAAGGGAAGAAAAACCCTTAGCTTTCTGAATAGGCAATTTCCATTCATCCACCTATGAGTTACCTTGTATCCTTCATTCACCACAGCCTGCCACAGAACATGTTGGACTCCGTACACAGAAGGCAAGAAATGAGAATTTATGTAATCTATTAATGACAGATGATGGCCTAAGCTGAAAATATAAATTTCTTCTGTATCCTTCACTTCATCAATTTCCAACTTCTATAGAACTCATTATTTATTTATTTAATGTTTATTTATTTTTGAGAGAGAGAGAGAGAGCATGAACATCAGAGGGACAGAGAAAGGGAGACAGAATCCGAAGCAGGCTCCAGGCTCTGAGCCATCAGCACAGAGCCTGACGCGGAGCTGGAGCTCACTAACTGCGAGATCATGACCTGAGCTGAAGTCAGATGCTCAACTGACTGAGCCACCCAGGTGCCCTCAGTTCTCTTTTTAAAGCCCAGATTTGATTTTATTCCAGGCTTGTCTCCTACACTCATGCATATTTAATTCAGATTTGGGGTTCCTAGATAACCTTAGTGTATCAATTGGGATGCTTTCAGTTGTTAGTGAAATCCAACTGGTGACAGTAATAAGGGAAGCTCTTTGCCTTCCTAAGTGGAAAGTCTAGGGATGAGGTGAGCATCTGTACTGGTGTGTTCAGAGACTCAACGATATCAAGATTTCAGTCTTTCTATCTGTCATCCAGAGTGACAACTTTGTCTTGACTGTCTGCTCCTTAAACATACTTCCCTTTTAGAGTGACTACTGGCAGCAATTAGGGTTACATACTCTCTAATTCACACTCAGCAGGCCGTGGAGCAAAAATTCCTATGATTGGACCATCTTGAAACCAGTCCCTGTGTCCAGGGACGTGCCACATGCTGACTGTTGAGGGTGAAGTCAAATGTGAAGTGTGAGATGGAGTTAGGGAACAGTTGTAGGAAAGGAGCACCTCCTATAGGACAAACCCCCTACACAACTGATTCATCACCAAGTCTGCTCATTTATGCCAGCCACTTCTCTCTACCTCTTCTCACACTGGTTCAAGCTGCCATCATCCCACCTGCACCACAGTCATAGCCTATGTCTCCTTGTCTGCAGCCTTGACCCTCTACAGTCCATTCTTCTCACAGCAGCAAGAACAATCTTTGATGTTGTAAAAACCAGGTTTTATTTCTTTCTTAAAACCCTCCAAGTGGCTTCCTTTTGCAATTAGGGAGGAAAAAAATCCAGTCTCCTTTCCTGAACCATAAGACATTGAACTTGCCCCTGTTTTGCCTTATCTATCCATCCTTATCCAGAGGCATGCCCTCTACCCCTTCCATACCACACTCTAGCCACAGAAGCCTACTTTCAATCTCATAGCTTATTCCTCCTCCAGGGATATCTACATTGTCCATGATGGTCTCAGCTCCAATGTAGCTGCCCCAGAAAGTCCTGGTCTATTCCAAATCTAAAGGAGCACCTTGACTTCCAGGCACTCTGGCCTATAAGCCCATTTCCCTGATAGACTTGATTCATAGCACTTGTACTTAGCAGAAAATGTGTCCATTTTATGTGCATTGTCTGATTCCAAGTGCTGAGGATATAGTGGCAACAAGAAGTATTTTCTAATTGTAAGAAAAACAGAGCCAAAAATGATTAGAAGTCATCTATCCATGTCTCTGACTTAGCAAGTACAGGGGACTTGGAATAGAAAACAGAAATGAGAGAAAATGAGAATGAGAAAAGTCCAGGTTCCTACCCTCCAGCTGAAGGAATGATGGACAAGGG